CCAGTAGCATGGAGAAGCCAGGGAAGGAAGGGCACAGTGCTGGGATGTCCCTGCTCACCTGAACAATGTTGAGCTTGGGCAGCAGGTTGCAGTCGGCTAACGTGAGGTGGTCTCCATCGAGGAAGCGGCGCTGGGAGGCTCGGAGGTGAGGGTCCCGGGCCAGCTCGTGCTCCAGGGGGGCACTCAGGTACTCATCCAGCTTCAGCAGGGCCCGCAGCAGGATCCGCTGCAGCGCTGCAGGGAGAGCAGTCAGGTCAGGGCATGGCCCTGCTGCAGGCACAGCGGCCCAACTCTGCCATGGCCAGCACAGCCCTGTGTCCAAGCAGCACCTGCCAGCCTCTTTCCGCCTTGCCCAGGCTGGTACCTGCCCCTGCCCTCCAACAGAGCCCCAGCATGGCCATGCTGACCCGTGTGGGGAGGGCTGTGCCTGGAGACACCCTGCTGTAAACTGGGGGGAACTGGGAAGACTCAGGGATCAGGCTTTGGGGTGGTGACACCTGAGAGGTTGCACAGGATGCTCCCCAACCAACTCCTCACCCTCGTCTTGGGCAGGCACTGGGTTCTTGATGTAGGTGGAGAACTTGTGGAAGATGTCATTCCCAGCCAGGCTTGATTCCCTGTACCGTGGGACCAGACTGGGGCACCTGCAGGGATGTGGGCACAGCTCAGGCAGGTGGCTGGGGCTGTCAGCCCCCTCCACTCACAGCCTGTCCTGTCCCTCTTTGGCCCCTCCCCCCTGTCGGGGCAGTGCCAGCCACTGACATGGGGGGTCCCAGCTGGTCCTCCAGGAACTCTTCGATGGTGACAGTGTCAGTCTTGGGTTCACCATTGTAGAGCAGAACGGGCAGCTGGGCACCTGGCGCGAAGTCCTTCAGCACGTCCAGTGCCCTGTGGGAGATGGGGACACTGCTGATGCCTGGCATGTCCAGGGTTCTGCAGGGCACCACACGTGTCTGTACATCCACATGTCCTGGGCAAAGGGATGATGTGTCCTCAGGCTGCTTCTGCCTCTATGCATGCCCAGGGAACTGCCCACCAGCCTCCCCTGGGCAGCAATGGGCACCTGGCAGGTACAAGCAGCTCCATGTATCCCACAGTGCCCACCCTTCGTGCCCCTTCCCAAACTGTTGGGGACTTA